GGAGAGGGGTTTTTTCCATCTTGTTCTTCCAAAAACACCAAGGAGGGGGGATTTAAAACAAGTTTAAAAGAGAAGGTGGCACGTGGTGGCGGTGCCATCGCTGTCCCCCCGCGCTGTCCCCTCCCCGTTTCACAATGAGGGGGGGGGGTTTCCATCAGCCCCAGGTGTGTCCACGAGCCCATTCTCTGCCACCTTCAACCTCTGCCCTCCTCCCACAGCAAATACTTTGCGGGCCAGGAGAGCCAGATGAAGCTCATCTACCGCGGGCAGCTGCTGCAGGACCAGGCGCGGACACTGCGCTCGCTCCGCATCACGGACAACTGTGTCATCCACTGCCACCGCTCCCGGGGAGCCACCACGGCCACCCCCGCCCTGCCCGACCCTGTCCCCGCCGGCCCCGCGGCCCCGGGGCTGCCCCTGGGCGGGGGGACCCTCATGGTCCCCACGGTCATGGTGGTGCTGGCGCTCGGGTGGTATTTCCGCGTCAACTACCGGCAGCTCTTCACCACCCCGGCCACCGTGTCCCTCATCGGGGTCACCGTCCTGGTCACCTTCCTGGCCTTCGGGCTGTATGGACAGTCGGGATGAGGCGGGAAGGAGCTGGGGAGGCACCCCAGTGTCCCTGTCCCCACTGTCCCCATCCCTGTGGCGTTACAGTGACCAGAGCCAGCACGGCAGGGGCTGTTTGGCCCAGTCTCGCTGCCAGATTTTATCCCCCCAAAAAGGGGCTGTGCCCCCCTCCCCCTCAGAACTCCATTCGTCCCATTCCCAATCCCAGCTCTGGGGGAGTGGGACAGCACTGGAATGGGCCGTGGCTTCTTCCCAAGGTCTTTTTAAAGCAAATAAAGGGTGTTAAGTCACCCCAGCGCTCACCTTCCCACTCTGGGGTTGCTTATTCCCCCCCTTCCCGTGCTTTTGGGGGGGGTTATAAAAACAAATCCAGCCCCATATGCAGTAAATGGAGTGGTGGTCGGGGGTGGTGGTGGGGTAACAGCCCTGCTTAATTAACCAGCCGTAATTAATGCCAGGGATACCAAGTCAAGATGCAGTTTTATTTACAGGGGCAGCCACAACCCACTCACGGGACACACAGACCTCACAAGGGCTCAGCTCCCCCCGGGAGGGGGGGACACACAGAAACACTGGGGGCTGGGGGGTGAGGACACTGACCTGGGGGGG